ATGGCGTTTGAGTGGACTTCCAAATACTGCCAATTTTCCTTTCTTTTGAAAATGGACGACGACGTTTTTGTCAACACGAGGGCATTAATTTCACTTTTGAAAAACCCGAAAACCCCTCGAGAAAATCTCTACACTGGAAAGGTTGAAGCACCCGCGAAAGTGCTGAGACATGGAAAATGGAAAGTCTCCGAAAATGAATATAATGGGACCATCTACCCACCCCTCTGTCCTGGTTTCGGAATTGTTCTTTCCCCTGATGTTGTGGATACTTTTGTCGGTTTATTCGATGTCGTACCAAGATTTAGACTCGACGATGTTTACATAGCTCTGCTGGCAAACAAAACTGGTGTCAAGCCAATCCATAATCCTAATTTTGAGGTGTTTCCTGATAATAAAAATAGATGCAGGTTCATAAACAGTACTTTGGTGCGACATACGGTCACTGGTGATTGCCTTTTCAAGGTTTATAATGAAATGCTTTCTTACTTATCAGCTGTTAAAGGGTGAGAGCCAAGGCCTGACTCGTTCCCAGTCGTTTTTTTTTGTCTTCTATGTCTCCTAATTAAAATTAGGAGACATAGAAAAGTAAAAGTAAAAGTAAAAGTATTGAGGAGGGATGGGCATGAAAGATGTGCGCGGGGGAAGATGGGAAGGAGAACAACGGGGAGACTTCCCCTCTATCCTTCCCACCGTGCTTTTCGCCGAGACGCCGTAGTAGTCTTCCGCGACCGTTCCGTGACCGCCTACAAACATAATAATAAGAGACGACTTGGAACAAGTCAGCGCCAATGTCGTTTGATTTGTCATTCGCTGGGGCCTTTTTATTGTTCAAGATCAACGAGGTACAGTTACACCGTGTAGTAGGTGTATGACAGATGTCTGAACTAATGTGCCAAACAGCGATTTTTACAAGGATGCGCAGGTGTTTTGATTTGACCTGTGATCAATTGGTCCTTCTTCTCTTTTGTTTGCTAGCCGAGGAGACGCATCGAAAAAAAAACTCCTGATCGCAGGTTAGGTTTGGATATTTTATTGGTGGTTTTCAGTTCACGCCA